TCACTTTTCAATCTGAAAAATATAAATTTGCAAAGTCAAGTGTTTTGGTTAACGTGACAATTACTGGGCCAACTACCTTATATGTTTTTATAACATGATTTTTACAATTATTTTTCAATAATTTTTATATAATTATATAATTATAATAAAGTATATGGGATATCGAGGTATGTTCAAGAAGCGCGTTCCTTTCTAAATATTTATACATTATAAATAATGGTTATTCGAAAAATGTAATATAAATTTAAAAATGAATTAAATTTAAACTAGACTTAATCTAAACTTAATAATTTATAAGTAACTTAAACTGTAAAATGTAATTCACAAATAACTTAATAATTTATAAAAATCTTATTTAAAATCATATGTGAGAATACAATCGATAAATAGAAATTAAATGCCTATTTTGAAACTCATCGAAAAAAAGTGTTGCAACTTTTTACTCTGACTGTACATAAAACTAATAAGGTATCATAAGGTGGTTTAACATTTGGTCAAACCAATGACACCTTATCATACATCTTATGTATATCTCGAAATTATATAACTTTTATCTTTTTTTTTTAAATACTCTGTTTCTGAGATAAAAAAGATAAGGTATCATAAGGTGATTTAACATTTGGTAAGGTCAAACCAATGACCTTATCATACATCTTATGTATACCTCGAAATTATATAACTTTTGTCTTTTTTTTTTTAAATATTCTGTTTCTGTGAGATAAAAAAGATATAAGGATGGTGTCAGACATTCGATATATACTATACATATATACATACATATATAACATATTTGTAGTTATTCGAACTGCGAATTGCTTTTCTGAACTTATAAACGCAATTAAACAACTGTAATAATATCACAAATTAAATTAAATTGATAAGCAATTTTTAATAATTCGATGATCAAGCATCATATTAGAAAGATGTTAATGTGCTGAAAAATTTTAAATAAATTTATTATGAAAAATATTATCTCGGCCGAGAGTCGAATCCGGATCTCTTGTATTCCACGAGCATCCCGAGCCTTTAGATTACCGAGGTAGTGAAATCCAACTTGAATTATACAATTTCCTACTTCCGACAGATGTCGGTAGCTACTCCAATAGAAAGTTTCAGTTGTGTTGCAGGGATCTTCCAATGTCTCAATTGTGTATCACATTTATAATTCTGACTATCTTCTTTGAAATATTACAATTGTAATATTTCTGCAATTAGCTTGATTAAAACCTTATGCCTGAAAAATTTTTTTAATGTATAATTCTTTCAATGGTGCAAATGCAAAGTTTCTGAAAGATTTCTGAAACCCCGAATTAATAAATGCATAAATATAGCACTATCCGATCAATCGATCATGCTCACACTCACGCAACATAAGAATATTAATCTTCTAGTAAATAAGGTGCTTAGTGAGAGCAAGAAGAGAGAGAAAAAAATACTCTTAACAATTTTATTTTCATGGTTACATTTTTTAATATATTTTATTAATGAAACAAGATCTTTTTTCAAAGATGATTATGCGTGGAATATAGTGATTTAATAATATATTGTTCAAATAAATCTATATGTGAATATTAATAACATAAGAATAAGAATATTATTATACAATTTAATAAAGTATTTACTTTTTTATTATCAATATTTATTCCCGCGCACATACGGGCTGGACAAAATATATCATTAAAATATTTAACATATAAAATGCTAAATACTGTCAATTATATTAATTAGTATTTAAATTATAAGATACAAACTACTTTCAGTCTTTTGATTTGAAATAATTTGTATTTCAAATCAAAAGGTTGAAAATATTTTGTACTTTATAATTCAAATACTAATTAAGATTGACAGTATTTTATATTTTAAATATATTAATGATGTATTTTACCCTGCCAGCATATACAAAATTTTTTTTACATTCTTGTAAATGAAAAAAGAACGTTGCACCAAAACATATCACCGAAAGATTTTACAAATGTTTTTGTAATATTTCAGAAACGTTTCTTGCGGACTTTTTGACGTTGCCGCAATCTTGCAGAGACTTCTTAGAAATATCATGCAATATAACTACGATAGTTTCAATGTTTCAATATTATGTTCGTGCAACATTACAGAAATCTTTCTATTAAAGTAAATATAAATTGTTTATGTTTAATATACATTTTTTATATGTTTATGTTTAATATACAATTTTTATTATTTAGAGCAGATTGTTCCATTTTTGGATAAATGTGGTAATTTATCCAATAGATAAACAAAACAAAAGATTATAAGAATATAAGAGAATAATAAGAAAGTTAGAGAGTGAGCTGAAATTTATTGAAAACAACAACCCAACCTTAGACATTTTGTAAAATATACATATATGTATTTATGGCGCAATAATATTACAGGCTTATTTAAAAAGAGAATTGTTTCTGTTATCATCTCTGAATATAATGGGTTTACAGCAGTGTTATATATTAATTCATAATAATTGTGCCATAAATGTATATATTTATTTAATATGCTTAACTAATAATTTCAAATTTGTTATTTCTTTTCTAAATCGAGCAATCGCATTTACTGATTGATTTCTCGAATATTTACATCAAATAGTATTCTGCGTTCTTTTCGTATCTCATTTTGATAATTGCGAAAAGTTACTGATTTATATTTGAATTTAGTTAATAATAATATTTTTGGTTTATTTTCTATGGCTGAAAAGTATACACATTTGGAACTTAAAGTAAAATAGATATATATTTGATATTTGATGAAAACGAAAAAAAAAATTCTAATGCGTGAACAAAAAAAAAACAGATTTCTTGTCGGATAGTGCGAAATACTCGTTGTTGTGATGTTATCGATCAAGTTTCTCTCGGCAATTGCTTCGTGTCGGGAGATAACTCGATGGTAACGAAACTTCGCATTCGGCGCTGTAAGTCTCTGATATGTCGTCATCGTCAGGCCGAAGAATAGAGATATCAATGTGATAGATAGTGGATAACCTCACTTTTGGAATTTAAAAAATATCCAAGCAGTGATATCCAAGCATTGAATACAATGTTTCGAATATATAATTTCACTAATGTAGCCTCGCGTGTCGTTACCATTAAAAGAAACAGTGCAAGATTCGTGAATATTCTTAAAATAAAAGAGACAATCCAACGTCTGCTAGGTGTGAATTCCAACGAGTTACCATATGCGCACGTTTGTCAAGTTGGCGATCCTGTCTTGCGCGGTCATGCCATGAAGATAGAACCTGAAGTTATAAGAATGGCGGATTTTCAAAAGGTATTGTTACAAAGAATGTATAATAATATTGGGTCATCTAAAAAGTATCCGCGGTTTTTTGTCACTACATGTGTGTTGATGGTCATATATCTAATGACAAAGTACCGCGGATACTTTTTAGATGATCCAATAGAATATGTGTATGAAATTTGCTCGCCAAATTAAACTTGCTACACATTGATTGTTAGGCCTTCATAAAAGAAATATTTTTGCTAAGCTTTAATCCCCTATTCTCACCATTGAGAGTAGTAATTAAAAACATATTTTTTATTATAATTTTTTTTCTTTTCCTAATTTATAAAAAATTATGCAAAAAATCAGTGACGTTCTATTCATCAAGAAACATTCCTGAAAATTTTTAAAATATAAATTCGAATTTTAAAAAATTCAAGAAGTTTAAAATTACTAATATTTAAATAAAATCGAGTAATTTCATTTTTTTGTCATACCTTTCCAACATTATTTACCTCAAATTATTTCAGACTTTTTGGAAATAAGCATTAATGTTAAAAAATTAAAAACGTGATATTTTCTTACATTTTTGCGCAGAAATGTAATTTAATTAGACTGATCATTAAAATTGCAATATTATTGCAATATTATATTATAATATTATAATGGTAACAACTAAAAGTCTGCGCAAGCATATGAGATATTAGAATAATTTTTTATAATATCGTTTATGATGAGAAAATCAGTTATAAGAAAGAAAATGATTTAAATTTTATTTTTTAATACTAGCACATTTTTCCAAAAAAAGAGATGATATATATATATATATATATATATATATATATAAAACATTGAAAAGGTGTCATGATTGTAAAAATATAATATTATTCACTCAATGAAGTAATCAAAATTTTACTGAAATAAAATAATTTTAAGCTTCATAGAAAAAAACGGCGTTATTTTTATTTTTTCTGTACTCTAGTGCTGTTCTTGCCTACACCTGTTCTATGTACACTAAATATATGTATTTTATCTCTACATAAAAAATGAAAGTAAGTAGTACGTCGTGTTATTAATCTAAGGAGTTTCAAATTATTTTATTTCAGTGAAGTTTTGATTACTTTATTAAGTGAGTAACATTATATTTTTACAGTAACATATCATAACACTTTCTCAATGTTATATTTATCTTTTTTTAGATTTTTGGAAAGATGTACTAGTATTAAAAAATAAAAATTAAATCAAGATTTTCTTTTTTATAACTGATTTTCTCATCATAAATAATATTATAAAAACTTATTATTCTAATATACGCAGACTTTTAATTGTTATCATTATTGCAATATAATATTACAATTTTAATAACCGATCTAATTAGTTACATTTCTGCGCAAAAATATGAGAAAATATCATGTTTTCAATTTTTTTACATTGATGCTTATTTCCAAAAAGTCTAAAATAATTGAAGGAGAATAATGTTGGAAAAGTAAATAAATCAAAAAATATAAAATTAGTTACTCGATAATTTTACTTAAATATTAGCAATATATTATAAACTTCTTGAATTTAAAAAATTTGTATTTTAAAAATCTTTAAAAATTTCCAAGAATTTTTCTTGGTGAATAGAACTTTTTTGCATAATTTTTCATGAATTAGAAAAAGAGAAAAAAATTATAATGAAAAGATATTTTTTAATTATTACTTTCACATTGGTGAAGATAAGGAGTTAAAGATTGGCGAAAATATTTCTTTCGTGGAGACCTAACAATCGATGTATAACAAGTCTAATTTGGCATGGGGGCAAATCCATATTCGCTTCACTCTTCGTCAGTAAAGTCTTTGAAAATTTAAATACAGAAGAGATATGTTTGTAAATTAATGATTTGCTCTAAGGAAAAATACTTTAACTTTGCAAGAAAAAATTCTGAATTTAAATTATAACACAAACTATTTTAAAAAATGTCAAAATAAGCAAGAAAATCTGTAATAAACGTACAAGAAAAAAATCTATAATTTCTAAAGAGAATTTTATGATTAATCGCAAAGATGATGTTGTTATCTGCATGCAAATATGTTATGTAAGATATGGAAATTAAAAAAAGAAAGATAAATATTAAAATATGTTATGTTCGATAATTATCTTTCTTTAATGTAATTATAAAATAAAATTAAATTATTTAAATTATTTTTTAAAAACAATGCAAAAATCATTTTTACTTCCTATTTTTTCACGTGAATTTTAAAATTAATTTTATGATATATTCTTTTTCATTATGTTATAGGTACTACTATTAAAAATAAGTAAATTAAAAATTTTATGATTTAACATAAAAATACAGAATTGCATTACTGATTGCTGTTCATTATTCAGGTAATCACACATTTGATAAACGTTATGCGAGCATATAAGTCGTATGGTATATCTGGGCCTCAAATCGGACTTCCTTGGCAAATATTTGCCATCGAATGCACGGAGGAGATTATGGAGGGAGTCGAGGAGACTGTTAAAAAAACTCACGAAATGAACATCATTCCGATGACGATTTTTATTAATCCTGAATTAAAAGTTATGGATTATACACCCATTACCCTTTACGAGGGATGTGAAAGTATTCGAGGATATTCTGCTGCTGTGCCGAGAGCTTACGAAGTAGAAATTAAGGCATTGAATGCTTCTGCTGAACAGTTCACGTGGAGAGCATGTGGATGGTCTGCTAGAATAGCACAACATGAATACGATCATTTACAAGTAAGAATTACGTCAGAAAGAGGAATATTCTTATAGCACTACAAATACGTAGAATAAGAATAAATTAGTTATGTAGAAAGTAATTTGTTTCTATTTCTCAGGGAAAGCTATACATAGAGAAAATGGACATAAGGACATTTCAATGTACGGCTTGGGATAAAATTAATAAAAATAAGGGCAAAATGCGCTTAAGTTATTTGCCGAAGAAGTATTGATTGGTGTATGACGCATATGAATTAATATTTATATTGATTGAAATAAATGCACAGTGCTTACATTAATATTAAAGCGTGCTTATTCGCACCATATATATATATATATATATATATATATATATATATATATATATATATATGTATGAAAGTAATATTCCGATCATTTTAATTAATTGTTATTAAAATGTTGTTTTTAAAGTTGTTTCTCTTATCACATTTATATTTTTTTTATAGATAGATAAAATTATAAATTTTAGAGTACAATCTACTTTTGATTTACAAAATAGTAATAATTATTTTTTTGTAAATATCTTGATCACGTTCATTCTTTGATGACCAGATGAACTGAAAAAAATATTTTATCTTTTCCTTGAACATGTATTCAAAGATGATAAACATTCACGAAAAGAACAATTTTCCTGAAAGATTTACATTTTGAAAATAATTTTGTTTGTTTATTAAAATAATTTTGTTAAAAATTTTCAGACTGATTACTAGAATATCGAAATTTCTAGCAGCATTGCTCTTCAGTTTCTAACATAATTATTTTGATGGTGCAAGACAATTATTTCCAATTCGTATCCAGCAAATTTTTATTCAAATCTTTCAATGAAATCGTTCTTTTCATGTATATCTATTTATATGACATATAATACCTCTGGTAATAGAATTTATCTTAACAATAGAAATTGTTTGTACCTCAGCTTTTTCTCTCAATATACAATCTTTCGTGATATTAACTTAAAATGTAACAGCAACATAAAAAATAGGATATTTTATTTACGCATTTTTCAGAATACAATCATAATAGACTATCAGATATACGTCACAGGTACACGGAATTATATAATACCGAATAAACGAATAGAATAAGTATTTCATTTGTATAAATCGCATTTTGCATGATTCTGTTTAATTTACACTTCCTTGCGTTACATTCAGTCGCTATCTTACTAACGCAGCTTTGAATATCGTTCAGTTACATTTTATCACGTAATTTACATTTTTTTTGTGATCTCTGATATGATAACAAATATATATTCTATTAACGTATATACATTGCAGCTATATGATTCTTTTATTATGTGCTTTGACTGCGTTTTTCGTTAATAAGAAGAAATAATTCTCTAATTATTTTAAATTTTTTATAAATATGTGAATAATGTATCAGTTTGCAAAGTTTTCGCTCTTTATCTTTTTCTCTCTAATTGCAATGGAGTTTACGTTTGTGAGAAAAATTTCAAATAAAATTTTTGCTCATTTATTTATTTTTTTATTTAAAACGAGTTTTATCTAGATAGAAATTCCAATAGTTAGAGCGGCTGATGTAAAAAGCAAGTTATAAATATCACAACATAGTTATGGTATGAAAAAGTTCTCGTATCGTAGATATTCTGTTTATTATTCCGTGTGCGTCATTAATATACAGAACTGTTTTGGACTATTCAAAGAGTTGAAGTGTGTTTTCTGGTACTCAAGTGGGTTTTTTGGATTTTTTTCAGCTGCATTAGTTGTCCTCTTATTCATAAATAATCATGATTCTGTGTATTTCCCTAATTATATATTATAATTATATTTTATTAGAATTACGTTAATATATGACGTGTATTATTATGTACACCTAAACCGTATCTTAAAAAGCGTTTGTTTTCCCAGAGTATTTCTTGCTCCGACAACATTTGAAAATCTAAAAGGAACATGAATTATAAAGATATTACACATACATTTTGAGTTCATCAACGTTGTTTTACTTCCTTTAAAATTTACTGAATAAATAGGATGAAACCATATCAAAAGAAAGCACATTAAAATGAATCTCTTTTAAAATATCATGCACAATAATAGACACGAAAGAAAAAACCTGTAATTGTTTAATATAAAACGTAATTGGATTTTATCTTTACATGTATTAAAATGAGACCTACTACTTATTTTACGATATTACTTTGAATATAAAATTACGTATTAATATTAAATTTATTTCATGAGAAATGAAGCGATTGAAATTTAGATTTTCGCAAATAAGAAATAACATAGTGATAAGTTTGGACTTATTGCAGATTATCTACGAGTTTCACAACCACATCTAGTGCGCGTTTAATGTATTCACATAATTTACAATTATTAATTTATCAATAAAAAGCTTGCAGTTGATTGTGAGGATATATAATTTTATATATGAAATTTTATAATTTTTATTTTACTTAGTTTAAATTATGCATAAATTTAATTTTTTAATTCTTAGGCTTATTGATTGAAGAAATATCTTAGCTTTAAATAAGAGCCTTTAGTCTTGAATTTTTCAGTTTTCTCTTTGAAAGAATTCTTATACATATGATAGGAACACGACAATTATGCGATGATGTTATGCGTTATAAATCATTATTCCTTAGTTTTAAACATTTTTCTAATATCAAATAATCGCGACTCTTAATGCGTTTCATTTTCTTAAAAACATCATGTATTAACACTATGAAGAGAAACTGCAGTAAATACAATATTTTGGTCCGTTGATTTTTTTTAAAAGACTATGAATGGTACGCCAATAGAGATAATTTAGTGATAGTCAACATAATGAACACAGAAACACATAAAAAACATGAAGCAGTAAAACATAAGCAGTAAGTGAATTGGCTAATCACAATAGTGATTGTAAGGCAATGATGTCAAGTTCTCTGCTGTGATTGGTCGAATTGTTTACTGCCTATGTCTCTGCACTATCTTACATTTTTCTATGTGTTTCTGACTTTACTTTTTTAAGTTACATGTAATATAATAACACAGATATCTCTTCACGATTAAAAAATGTCGCATGTGACTAGAGAGAGAAACTTGATTAAAGTTCTTGAAATAAAATAATTGCATTTTTGGCCTAAGTGTTATACAAAGACTAGCTTGACAGCGGGAAATAATCGCTCCTTCCCAGGATGCTGCAAAACGCAGGTGCAATTGAGCTGATTGCATCGTTGACGGAAAGAGCGCCAGCATTAAAGGGGAAATTAGATATTTTCATATCTAGATATTTTCATATCCAGGTGTGTACTCGTTGTTGCTGAGAGTTTTCTTCCTCTTGTCAGGACACATGTCCTCTGGTCTGCGAAGTCCTCCATTTTTTGCCATGATCGCGATGATGAGCCAATAGCCGGTCGTTTCCACCTCTCACTGATTGCAGGTGCAGTGGTATTCGCACTGTGCCTATCGAATTAGAAATAGAGCTTGTTTGCATCGATACATTGATTGTTGCGTATCGTGCTATATCCAAATATACTATGGTGATTAACAGCGCCGTTCCGTGCCGTTGAATTTAATGTATGCGTACGTTCAGGTATAATTCGTGCGAATTATCGAATTCGTCATCAAAATTCACATATCAAAAATCAAACGAAGTTCTCTAAAAAAATGAATGTTACTTTTTATTGCGTGCAATTATTCTAAAATCAACATATGTAAAAACTTAACTTACAACAGAAACTAAAGTGTCAGAGATACATGTGTACTTAATTGAAACTTAATAGAAGGAAATACTGTGCGAAAAATAAAAATTGAATGAACTTTTATGAGAATATAATTAGAAAAGACGATATTAGTATTTATAACAAAATGAAACAACAAAACATCTACTTAATTAAAACGCGCTAAAAACACACATAAATTTTTTTATCTTACCATATTTCGTTATCAAGAATTAATCCTTTTAGCAGTAAATTAATATGGAAATTCTGAGGTTTTGCATTTGTTAACAGGATTAATTTTTTTAAGTTCCAAATTAAAGGTTTAATTCTTGATCTTGTAAAGAATAATTCCCGCAAGTTAACGAATAACAAACATGCAATCATAGTTCATTTTCCACGTTTGTTTCGTATTTATTACTTCCCGTCAGAATTGCTGTATTGCGATCGATACGAACCAGGGGATGCGAAGCGAATGGCTCGTATCTGCATTACACATTTAACGCTAAATATATTTGATTCTCACTGGTATCGAATTTTCGTATATGCGCAAACAATTTTTATGTTGAATGGCGGTTTTATTATGTTCTGTGTTAAATGTATATATAATTTAACATGCGTCGCGAACGAGCGAAAAATCACGAGCCGGTATCTTCGATTCCACTAAATCAAATATGTACTCGAGTGCTCGAAAGCAAGATGTAAGCTTTGCTCGGAATCAAGAACAATGATATCAGAACGAGGTGCAATTCTTGGCCGCGACAACGTTGTCACGATCGACGTCCGCGAGAACGTCGGGGACCAAGTGACGCAAATCTATAGATGATGTTCGCGCGTCCCCTTGGGCTAGGTCAGTGTCGTCGAAATGAGACTCTGACTCGCTCCTAGGCGTTGTGGAGCCGGTGGTGCAAGTGTGCTCCGAGAAGGTGCACGTACCATTCCGCGATATTCTGGTATGCATATCCGGGCTACCGGTGCAGCTGTATCTGGACGTCACGGCCTCCGAACGCGACAGAGACGGCTCCGACGTCACACGCACCCACGGACACCAGAAGAAGAATTGAGCGAAGCCACGGCGGAATCTGCACAAAGTATGTTGGAGATCGATGGAGTATATTATTCATTCTTAAAACTCATTAAACTTTAAGGTACTTTTACACAGTGAGTGCAGTTCAAGCAGCGCGTCGTCAACTGCACTCACTGCACTCATAAGAAAGTTAGTCAATTGTTTGCCGTAAATACACGTTGTGCTGTATGGACTTACAGATGTGTTTCTTTCTTTGTGTAATTTTCAATCGCTGAATAATCAATCGTTTGTGATTGTCAGTGATTAATTAATAAATCGGTTAATAAATTCCTCGTTTTATCAAATGAGTGCAATCGAAGTGTCAATATGTTGAAACGACAATTTATAAAAAAAGAATCTCATTGTGAGAACGTGTGACTTGATATCTACGTACTTAAAAATCTACGTACATTTAATATTTGAGTGAAAAAAGTGAATTACAATAAACCGAGCACTATTACTATGCATCCAAATTTATTCTTCCGACTGTTTCAAGAAACTAAAAAAACTAAAGCAAAATGGAATCATTGAATATCTACAAGATAATAACAATTTTATAATTAAGATAATAATAAGCTTTTAAAATGTATTTGGCTTACGTTTTTGTTTCAAATATTCACAACTCTTTGCTAAGAAGCGCGATCGCGTTTCTCTAAGACTTTTTATAAGTATGTAATAAATGCTACGAGCGCGACAGCGCAGATAAAATTGTTAGAGAAATTTTTGTAAAAGTGAGAAATTGGACAATAATTGCGTACTACAATATAAGTATTGTAATACCTATTGACATACAATTAAGCCTAACAAGTTTTCTGTACATCAAATTGTAAGAAACGCTCTTAAATTTCGACATACTGAAATAATTATTTGATTTGTACATCAATAATAATTTTAATTATGTGCTTATTACACGTAATTATTGTCAATGTAATTATTTTATCAATGTAATTAAAAAACAATCATACTTAAAGGGTTCAATATTCATTTTAATTTTATCATTCTAATTTATAATTTAACAAAATTAGCATATTTAAAGTATGTGAAAGACAAAGAGATAGAGAGGAAAAGTAAGAAGAAACATGTTTTTATAAATGTGTTGCCAGTTGAAACGTTTGTCGCGACAATCAATTAGAACCTTTAATGGTATTATTTATGCTTCTGATTGGTTGTCGCGATAAATGTTTCAACTGGCAACGGTTGTTTGCAACGCATTGTAGAATGCTATTTCTTCTTGTAATTTGAAAACTAAACTTCAGGCAAAATTTTTGCAAAGAAAAAATCGTCTTAGAATTAAGTCAGGAATATGATACTTCAAGAACAAACATTTATTCTGAATCACCCTGTATATATATATATATATATTTTTACTCCTCGCAAAAAATAAATCTTTGAATAATTGTGGTCATAGATCACAAAGTTCTCTCATATACATCATATAGATCATCATATTCTTTTTATGATACGCACGGATAAAGATTGATCTTTTAAGAAAAGATTACCAAAATCATCTAATTGTTTCAGATGAAAAATCTCGTATGCAATAATATAGAGAAAAGACTGTAATTCAATTATTTCGATCTTATTGCTGCGCCGTTGTTATTATTTACCATCATTATGACATCGTGGTCTGGATGTGGAAACACAATGATACTCGCATATCATGTCATACGTAAATGAATATTTATGAGACTGAAGCATATTCTGTCGATAGCATGCAGAAAATTGAAATTGTGCGTTTGACCTGCGGATGCCTGTTACATCGCATCGAGGTGTTCAATGTATTATATTTCCATTTTGTTGGTTTCGATGTTACATTTATTTATTTTTTTCACATGTCAATAAATAGCAGCAATGCCGATGTTAGTAAGGAACAAAATGTGCACGCTGCGTGTGATGTATAAGAGAGGATTTAGGAGCGAAAAAGGGGAATTCCAAACACACACACACGCACACTCACACACATCGACTCTCGACACATTCCCATTCTCATTTGCGTGCAAACCGAAATTATTTCAATTGCTCTCCGAAGATTCGCGCGGCTTTTCTCGATGGACATAAATCGGTCAGCGACGTTCACTGAACTGGCACGTGTTTGAAAAACATATCCCTGTAGTGCAAGTTCTATGACGAATAAATCGTTTATTTTGCATATATCGGAATCTCGATTTGGTCGACCACATTTTCATTATCACGGATATTCAACATTTAACTTGATCGTTCGTGTAAACGCATTAATGGCAACGACGTTACTTCCTGTTTCTATAATAACTTTGAGCGTTTCTCCACCCTTCCTCCGAGGCATCTCTAAAGTTGGATAAGCTTATCTTTTGTGTGCTATATTGGATTAACTCTCGACAGTTCGTCAAACACTCTCGATGAGATAGCGATTGCCGGTGAAATGAGTCGGCAATCGGGTCTTAACTAAGAACTTTATAAGATAAAGCTATTGTATAATAAATGATCAAACTATTTTTACATATCTCTGTAACTTTACAAATATGTAAATACATCTGCCTTTGATTATTTTATCTTAATAACAAAGGTTATTAAAATAGATTAAGAAAGTTAACAAATACAATTTAAAAATTAATAGAATTTATACGTGACATTTTAACAAAATATAAGATATATAAACGATATTTATAATAAAAACTCAAACTCATGTCGAGAAAAAGCGATATTTGTAGCGAAGACTCGTGTTTAATTTGTGTAGATCCACTAATTAACATAGAATAATTTAAGTTAGTCCTTGCTTATCGCGATGGGCAAACTTACGAAGCGAAGCACTGCGCGGTATCCAAGATGTTGAAGAGGGAAACTTTCGCGAACTCTGTTAACAAATGATGAGAGGATTCGTCGATACTGTATCTATGTATTTGCTTATCTCGAAGTTGGTAGAATCTGCACAAGGACTCTCAAGAAATAATCTCTCCAATATATTATAATGCTGACATTGCAAGAAAATTAAACTTCTGTTACAATATATTAAAATTGTTATATGTTTTGAAAAGCATTGCGAATAACAAGGCAAAAAGCAGTCGTTTTCAAGTAAAAAGAAGTAAAAATCTTACCTAGTATTCATCCAACAATAAATTATAGGGTTGTACATGCTATTGGACATCGCCAGCCAATATATGCCTAGAAAGACCTCCTGGATGTACGGTTCATTTGTAATCTCTGGTAGGTAGGACGTCACTATGAAGTACATATGAAACGGAAGCCAGCACACTGCGAATATTACTACTACGACTATCATCATTTTTACGACCTGAAATATAAAGAAAAATCGTATCAGTCAAGATATAAAAGGAACCAGTTTCTTCATGATTAATTCACTATAAAGTTAGACTTTTCCAATAAAAATAAAAACAGCGAAGCTATTTTCAGTACCATAAAAATTTTATTGAAGAAAAAAAGTTATTATATTAGGTGTTGGAATTAATTCGTAGCGTTTTTAATGAAAGAATGTTATTTATTTCACATGAGCATTAAAAAATACATTAATGAAAGTACTTCCCATCACTTGTAAAACGCTACGAATTAATTCCAACACCTAATATTATTTATATTTCACAACGAAGCTATCACAAAAGTATATTTTAAATAAATAAACTTAAATTCTCTTTTATATGTATTTACATTAAGATTTTCCTATAAAAGTCATATTAAATAATTAGAGAAACAATACATTATTGTTTTAAATTAAATTATACTTGGACAATATAATAAGAGAATAATCAGCTTATATGTTTCATATTTAATTAAATTCGGGAGATTATATTCTGCTCATTTTAATATGTGTAAATAATTATAATTATTTTATGTTATAAATGTATTTATATATGAATATGTAACGTATGATTTTATGTCGCCAAATTATCGATGATTTTAATGAAAACACCTGTTAGATTCGATTTGTATACGCAACGCGCGTTGCGAATGAAGATTCCCGTGACTATCAAGGGAGGTTTCCTGTATTTATAGTAATATTCTGTGAAACATATCGAAATAATGTGATTAATTATGATAAATAAAACTACTGATTGTTTCTATATGCAGTTTCTACTTTGTCAATTACGATCGGAAAACTATAATAAATACTTCTTTGAATTTGCATTTTCTACAAAGAATTCTACAGGTGATTAAAGCTACGATAACAAAGTGCTTGTAACATGTCGATTTCTCCGTCGTTTTTGTTATTATCGCGAGATTCAATTTTGTCTTACCTTCTCTTCCGCGTTATATTACACTTTTGTCTGTTCGAAGAGGAATTCTCCTTTCCGTTGAAATTAACAATTTACTCAACTTCGCACAGGTATAGTTCTCGTAATCAGTTGAGGACAGCTTATAGAGAACAGCTATTTGAGAAATAACTTAAATTGGATTTCTTGAGATAATTACGAGTTGTACCTTATTATCTTCTTTAGATAATAAAATTAAAAAGTAGATTTACATTCTCTCTGTGGGTAGGTAGGCGTGATTTGCACTGTGCACTATGCATGGACCTGGCAACAAATTCCATTGTAATTTACAATAATGAATACCGCTCATCAATTCATATTCAAAAATATAATTTTGAAATTTCAATGCAAGCACTTCGAAAAATTGCTTTAGTGCAGCGGACCATGATATTTCCTTCGAATATTTATGTCTGACCCTTGGCAAGTGTTTGTAAAGCTTTGAAATACATCCAGAGCACATTTTTATTGCTTCTACACGTTCTCTACAAAGTCGGATAAGAATTTGCATTTTTCTTTCTTCTTCGAAAAATCCACGATAATCGCATAGCGTTTTATTCGCGGCAATGAATTTTGAGTAGCTCTGTCTTTGTATAACTTATTTTTCCTTTTTCTGTTCTTCCATGCTATCTTTTTTAAATCCGCAAAAGTATACATTTCTTTAATCCATTTATGAATATATAAATGGATTTAAAAAAATTAAAAATTTTTTACATTATATATACAATAATATAAGAATTTTATTTACGACATATGTAATATAAAATTGCACAAAATCTCTCGTCTTAAAATGAAACTGAATCGAAAAAGATACGTTGAAATTAAGAAATGATTAATCTATATTTAATATTACTTTTATTTTAAGGAAAGAATCAGAAAAATCGATCATTCGGAAAATCCGAACGCCAGAAGGGAATTAGTGAGTGGCATATTTCATCGCTATCAGTGCCGATTCTTCCGTTAAAGCAATTAAGAGAATTGCTCTCTCGTCATTAATGTTCCGAAATAACAGATGAGAGATTGATCTTATACAATTCGGCCCACGTGAACATCTTAGCCGATTTTTTTATTCGGAAAGAGAATGATTCTGCTGTCGTTGCTGCTGGGTAAGTATAATTAAGGCCAAGAGTAGTTTCAGCGGGTGTTGGCGTCTCGACGACTGGTCACATTATCCAACATCTCCTTTCTTCTTCGAAATGTCAGATTTTACCGTCAGCTTCACTGTTAGTTTCCCTATTGTTCTCGCGAGTTTGTAGTAGCGCGCACATTCATACACCAGCATTTGACACGATCTCAAAAATCTTCCTTCTACGAGATTTATAAAGTGTTACAATGACATAACTACCATAAAAGGCATTATTTATTGTTTATATTACCGAGCTAAGTATTGAAAATATTTCAGATGTTATACATCTTTTTTATTTTCTCAATGACAAATTAAACACCATAATAATTATAGGGCCGTATATGTGAGAACATAAACTATAGTAATTAATGCTTTAAACAGTCTAGCTGGATCTTAAATGCTTCTATGATTGTGTGTGAATTTATATACTACGTATGTAGTCCTTTTTTCTTTTAAATGCGCGCCGAAATGATTTTTCGGTTTTGAAACGCTAATTCTACTAAACTATTTCAGTAATATCACGAGTTAAAATTGAATAACATTTTAACAATTTTTTGATGCTTTTTCGCATTTTCGAAACGATCTTAATTATGTTGAGTAACATATTAAAATAGACCGTTTAAGGCTTTGATTGCTGTAATTAAAATATCATTGTTTTATCATTGTACGTTTAAAGGTATAACATAAAATTGGATTCTTGTCATTCTTGTTTTTAATAAACATTAAGATTTCTATATATAATCATATTTCGGTTGAGAATAAACTTAGCGGAAAGCAAATATTATATTCTAAAATATGATACGGTTTAGTAAACCTTGGTACATAGTTAATTAATTCGATGTTCGTTACGTCGTATTTGTAATCGCGACTTAATCGGAGAATTCAGAAAATTTGTCTTAAATATTTTATTTCAAAAATCAATTTTTAAGAAAAACTTATTATATGTGTATATACGTATATTAATAGTTTTTAATCATTTTGTGGAGATTTGAGAAGAGAGCAATTACTTATGTCAAAAACTTGATCTCAAATAATCTTTTTATCAATCTATTTAGGAAGAATTATATATCATTTAGATTCTCTCATTAAAAGAAACAGTTAAATAATTCGCGAGTAATAATTTAAATTTATTATTAGTAATATACGTATTTATATAGTATGTATATATATATATATATATATATATATATATATATTTATATATTATTAAGTTGAAGAAAATTTTTTCGACTAATTTTCGTCAATTAAAATTTATACAACGAAGCGTCCTCTCGATCGAAATTAATCGTTATTTACTTTTACATTCACATACAAAAATTCAATATAATACTGAAAGATAGTGATTAATTACTTATTCTGATCTTGATATTATTAATTTTAATAATAAAAGCGTAGTGTTTAATAAGTAATTAATCATTACCTTTCGATAAAAATTTCTGTAAAGGTAGACGATTTTAATCAGCTCAGGAAACAAAATGCGAAATGTGAGATATTAGTTTATTTATCGGAATGCGAAGAATAGTTATTTGATGTGATTTTATTTTATACAATATTAAATGTTTCAAGACAATGACAATTTTGCTTACGCACAATGTCACACTGTGTTTACGCATAAGGTCGTCACTATATTTGCTCAATGAAATTCAAGCCAACAGGTTGTGACGCGATCTGCTCTTCGTATCTTATTATCTTATTATCCTATACTGAAAAAAAAGATTTCATATCAGCAGCATTTTTAATTGAAAATAATTTTGTTAATTTAATAACATTAATAACATTAATAAAGCAAATATACATTATGTTTATGTTTAATAAAATTTTAATTATTCCATTATATAACAAGATTATTTCCACTTAAAATAATGCTGTGCTGAGAGAAATGTTTTGTACTAATAACCAAAGTTACTGACACAAAAACTATTTGTTGATATATGATCAATCAAATCGTTATTTATAACTACGATAATATTAATTTATTGAATTTACTAAATGAATTAATAATTTAATGGTACAAAACTGTTTTGTATGATGTTTATAGATTTTTTGTAGTTAGAAATAGAACATTTTGTTACTGGAACAAAATGAATAATATATATCTCTCGCTTTCTACAGAATGAAATTATGTTTGGCGTTTTTGAATTTCCTTAGCTTAGCAAAAATATATATTAAGCCATACATAATGATTAGACTACGTAGTAGAGATTGAGATTGAGATTAAGATTGAGATTAAGATTGAAGATTGTTCAATCACATTATAAATTGTATCCAACAGCAGTTAAGTCAAACAATACTTGTAATATTGAGCGTTTTTCCATTTCGTGTATCAAAGCATATTCTTTCTCTTTAGTCCATATTTATATTTTCGGAGGTATTTTTCACATATTTTCATTAATTAATTGAATTGTCAATGTATTTTTTATAACTCTTTTAACGTCACGTGACTGAAATACTGAAAGCTTATTGGTTGAGATTGAGATTGAAGATTGGAAAGATAGACGGAGCCTTATATTTTAATCTGCAATTTCAATCTCAGCCTGCTCTGTTTTCATTGGTCGAACGTCAATCTTAATCTCAATCTCAATCTCCAATACATAGTTTGATCACAGCTTTAGAGCAATTGAGATTACTAATTGCTCGAAAAAAATAGTTACCATGATTGATCATAGTGTAACAACAACCGAGAAGTCCACGAGATTAGTTTCTAATCGTTTCGACTTCATACAGGTAGACGTTGAATTTCTCTTACGAAAAGACACGCCATCTCTGATAATTCCGCGAAACGCTCTTTGCTCTACATAGTGGATTATTTTGTTGAAATTACTAAAAGAATACTTATTTTGTGAGATGGTAGTCTCACATTGTTATTTACAAAACGTAAGTAATCAAATAAATTTGTATTGTTAA